GGCAGTGTTAGGCGCTCAAGTCGACGATACACTAGCGCCATCTAGTGTCAGGAACGAGAGCGAGGGGAGCTTTGCAGAAAATGACATCACAAATCTCTCAACCGACAGCGCCATCCGAAGAACTAAGTTTCTAGAAAATCTACACTCGCACACTCGTCCCTTTGCGAATATTCCGGATGCTTCTTTGCTAATTTAAATAAATAGGCGCTGCAAGATGCCATCGCAGTAGTATTGAAGTGGCGAAACAAGCGAAGCTTCGGAGCGGAATAAAGTGAATTAGTGTGTTTAATTATTAGTGTTTTTAGTTTTAATTTGTGTAAAGTAAATTAAAGTGTTAATTTAGGTAATTTTATCGGCAATTTTTATTGTCACGAACCTCAAGCTCGTAACAGTATGATTGTTTTTTTTTTGTTTAATGAGACTTCTTTATAATTTATCTAAATATTATAGTAACATTTTATAGACTTAAGTTTGAATACGTGCATGTAGTAAAATTAAAAATGTGAGATTTTATTTTTAATTTGTCAGCTTTCCTCGAGATCTGGTTAGGTGTGCAGAATGGATATCAGTCATAGCATGTCAAAGTTCCGAAGAATTCTTCAAGCCGACCCAAGGAAGCGTTGTATGTTCGAAGCATGTTTTAGAAAGTGATACATATGTGACTACAACTTTCTGTACATACTTTTTATATTTAGTAACTATTGAGTTTAGATTTAAGTTCTTTGTCAAGCAATATTTTTTAATTTTTGACACAAGATGAAGAATAAATAAATAATTATGACTGTTTCAAGTACTTTAGTTACTAAATGAATGTGGTATCCTATCCGAAAACGCATTTACATTCGGGTAAATTATAACCATTACACGTAAGGCACCTTAGAATAGAATAGAATATGCTTTATGTAAAATAGTTTTTAAAACAAGTTTTAAACATTTCAAAATTAAAATAACAGTAACGAAAATTATTGGGCAGTTCGACTCCAATGATTCCTTGTCCAAGGTACGAGCCTCGGTTGTAAAATTTGCTTGCTTTTTATTAGCACTTTGTAATTCTGACTTTCAAACACGCGTGTAAGGTTGAATTTGTTTTGATATAGGTTGACCAGCTAGTATCAGTCATAAAAATTTATTGCTTTTCGTACGTATCTTTGTGAATACAACTATAGGCGATGTATTTAAGGTTAAATTTACATAAATGTGTATTTATTTCAACTAGAATTACGTCACAACCTTGGCGACAGTTTTTAGAGAACTTTTGTATGGGATAGTGCATCTAGTTATTTATTAGTGATCGATGTTGAATACCGTCACTATCTATTCTTCGTCGGCGTGAGCGTCGGCTTATCAGTGCTATTGTATTATACTCCTTTGTTCCTATCTACAACACTAATCTGAATCATCAATAAAACACGTTACCTTATTTTTGTTACAATTTTTATTTACGAAATCTATAAAATAGGAGCGAAACATCTCATCCACTAAAATATCGTTGTACAATGTGCTCCCTGTAAATATACTCGTAAATCTATGGACTGAACATCACTGAAACGTATATAGCAAATACATTAAGCAATATTCGCCACAAACTGAAGTCCACTCATTCTGAATCCTATCAACATTCTAGTTCCATCTTTTACAATTCCTTTTTAAAAACTCTAGATGATATCGTACAGGTGATCGTCCGTATGAATCAAAATATTGACCGACGTCATTTGTATCGATATATAAAGCTACCCAATGTGACCCTGGTTTATCATCTGTATCCAAATTGCATATTATATACGTTGGTACGTGGGTATATATATTAGCAGCATAAACATTATTTTCTAGACTGGGGTGAATCTTTTTCAGATGTTGTTATACATCTAGTGTATCCATGATATTACTGCTATTAGTAGATTATTACAGTACAAATCTACTCAATGACTAAACATAGGAATGATCAATTATAGTGACTTCTAAATATTAAATTGCATTATTTTGTGTTATACAAAACGTATTTGAGTCATCAATACACTGAACAAGACGCAACACGAAGGACGAAGGAATGCTGAGATAAGCAACAGAATGTGAGATAAGCTTGTTGACGCATAAAGTTACTATCAATTCCACTGCAGAAATTCTTTAGATTAGAATTATACTTACTGGTACTATATAAGACCAAGCAACTGCAGTCATGGAGTTAGTGTATGGTCGTTTGACCGCAGTGGATCTATCAATACTACATTTGTGTTACTTCAACGCATCAAAGGCCATGGATGTAAGTGTTTATTCTATTGACAAACTTACTTTTCTTTCTGTTATTTTCTTACGTTTGTATGATTTAGTGTTAACAAATTATATTTAAATATTGTGTGTGTATATGATTAAGCCGTGGTAGCTCAGATGGTTAGCGCAAGCTGTAAATTTCACAGTATGTGACCCGGATTCGATCTCCGCCGGCACCAATTAAATTGTTAATTGCATTTTTAAGTGCTCATTTACCAAGGCGGTGAAGAAAAACATCGTGAGGAAACCTGCATTTCTGAGAAAATTTCGAAGGCATGTGAAGTTCGCCAACACGCATTGACGCAGCGCCGCGGACATTTCCTAGCCATAAATACAAAGACAATAGCAGAAAGTGAAAAAGTTAAAAAATCCTTTTTTAACAATGATAGTCATTAGTTGATCATTAGTGAATGTGATTCTGTTTACTTAAATTACAGGAAGACAAGAGCAGAAGAAAGAAATGGGATGATGGGAAGTAATGAAGCATTGTTATGTGAAGTTTGTAGTGTGAACTTTTAACATTTTGGTTCAAAATGACACAAAATCTAAAAAATATTAGATACATCATCGACATGGACGGATTTTACATTACATATCCTCATAAATATTTTCAATGTAGAGAAATGGCTTTTCTAGACGTAAAACTATCAAATAAAAATGATGAGTTTATCGATCATTATTTGTTTGGGTCAAGTTATCCTCTCAATTATTTGTCACCAAAAGACAAAAAAAACTGTTCGTTATTGTAAAACACACGTGCACGGCATTCCATATTTTGATGTAACCGAAGAATTAAAATGTGCCTACAAACAAGAGAACATCATTCCCATATTAAATTGGTATATTAGAAATTTGTGCAAAGACGAAGTGATCGCATACAAAGGTGGTTCGACAGAAAAACAATTTTTAAAAATGTTGACGACGAATGATAGAATTTTTAATATTGAAGAATACAAATGTCTAAAATACAATGATTTGTTAAATGTCATAAATTTAAACAAACGTTATGTGTGTAATAATCATATATTTGCAAAAAATAATCACAAAATTTTACATTGTTCTTGTTACGAAGTGTGGGTTTTTTACAAGTGGTTATTGTTTGAAAATAAAATTTTAAATTAATCATAAATTTTGTTTGATTGAAGCCATCATTTGCAAATGGTTGTCCCTAAAGCTAAAGTACCGGATATTCTACAGCTGTACCATAATGATTGTTCAGAAGGCCGTATAGGAGTTAAACGAACTCTACTGAAGATCCGAGAACGGTTTTACTGGGTCCACTGTCGAAACGATGTCGGGGTCTGGTGTCGCAAATGTACAAGTTGTGCGGCTGTGAAGGGACCTCAGACTCGTAGTAGAGGTGCATTGAAGTTGTACAATGTTGGTGCACCATGGGAGAGGGTAGCCATTGATGTGGCGGGACCGTTTCCAGAAAGTGAAAGTGGTAACAAGTATTTCATGGTTGTGATGGATTACTTCACTAAGTGGCCAGAAATCATCGCCATTCCAAATCAAGAAGCTTCAACAGTTGCAGATAAACTAGTTCATGGAGTCTTCTGTCGTTTTGCGTCATAGTACCTTTAGAGATCCATAGCGATTAAGGAAGGAATTTTAAGTCTCAAATATTCCAGGAAACTTGCCGAGTTATGGGTACTCACAAAACAAGAACGACTTCTTACCACCCGCGATCTGATGGAATGGTGGAACGATTTATTCAGACATTGGAGAGGTACCTAGCAAAAGTTGTAGACAGTCAGCAACGAGATTGGGACAAGCATATACAACCGTTTTTGTTGTCATATCGAAGCGCTGTTCACGAAAGCACTTAAGTGACACCAGCTTTCGCAAACTTTGGAAGAGAGTTACAGCTACCTGTAGACCTAATCACCGGGATATCACCTGATGCTCCTCGCGGTATAACCGATCATGCAAATGACTTGCGGAATAAAATGATTACATTTATGAGCACGTCAGACAATCGGGCCAGCAAATGTCCGAAAGGATGAAAACCCGGTATGACCGTAAAATGAACAACAAAGAGTTCGACCAAGGTTCACTAGTATGGTTGCACAATCCAGTTCGCAGCAAAGGGAAATCTTCTAAGCTTCAAGCTAAACGGGACGGCCCGTACCGGATTGTGACCAGGATCAACGACGTAACCGTTGACCTAAGATCGTCCATGTAAATCGACTATCGCGTTATTATGGGGCCGATAATGCTCGGGACGAGCATGTCTTAGAAGGGGACAGTGTTGCGCGCCTAAGTTGATGTCTGGTACCTGGCACTAGCGCCGTCTAGTGTCGGGAAACAGAGTGAGGAGAGCTTTCTAGAAAATGCCATGACTGAACTTTCAACCAACAGCGCCATCTAGTATCGAATAGAAGAACTAAGCTTTCTGGAAAGCCCCACACTCGAACTTTCTGCACCTGGTCGATCGGGGGCCGGTATTTGCTGGAATATTCTGGATGTATCGGTGAAAAAGGCGAATATAAAGGCGTTGAATCCCGCCACCGGGGCAGTATTTTTTTTTAATTTATTTTTCTTTTCACATACAGTAAGAAGTATAACAATTTATAAGGTGTAAACGTAAACTCTTTTGAGTTTCACTGTACACCCTAAGCCGTCGTTATACGTTAATAAAGATTAAGATTATTTATTACATATTTGCTACACACTTCATACATCCATAATTAAATAACAATCACAAGACAGCTACACATTTTGTAAATACAATGATGGTATATCACAACATAAGGTTATGTAAAAACCTTTTGTGGACGATCCTATGCAGCACTGTCTTCATTTTTGCTACTTTTTATTCTACCTGATGTTATTTCGCAGAACGTACAGGTATGGTAAGTGTGGTTTGTGATTATTATTATATAGTGTTGTTAGTTTATATTTATTATGTATATTATGTATTTTATGTATTTGTTTTGTATGTGCATAATTTTGTTTTCATCACACAAAATTCTATATATTAATATTTAGTGTTTATATTATGTATATGCTTACTTGAATTTATTAATTGCTATTATGTAAATAGATATAATTATTCTAATGTATAAGTTAATGTATATTATTGTGTAAGTAAAGTTTAACAATTATAATGTATGTTATGTGTATTTTTTGTTTATTATTTGTAGAAAATATTGTTTCAAGATGTTTTTAGATTTTTATATGTTATTTTTTCTCTAATAGCATTAGGTATAAGATTAATTAGGTAAGGTATTATGTAATTTAATCGTCTTTTACCTTAAACCTTTAACCTGTATTATTATAAGAAAGTAGTCGCAGTCTGCTGTTATCTTGCCTACGGATTGAATAATTTTTGTGTGGTTTTTGTAGATTTTCAGTAAAATAATATTGTGATAAAAAGAGTTAGTTCTACTTTTTCATGAATTGGTAATATTTCACAAAATGCAAAGAGCTTACGGTAATCTTTAAAGGTGTTTTTTATTTTTATAGGAACTATTCTTTTTAGTATACGTAGCTGGAGTGAAAAAATATTGTCTAGGTTTGTTTTAGAGGTTCTTCCATAACTGGACAACCCATAGGATATTATAGACTCAGCCAGGGACTTATAGAGTAGTAGAAGTATTTTATAAGGAATTTTAGGTTTTAATAATTGAGAATTTGGCTAATATTACCCTTAGTGTGTTGCTCACATGGTTAATATTGTTACGAGCTTAGGGTTCGTGACAATAAAAACTGCCGATTACCAAAATTAACACTTTAATTCACTTTACACTAATTAAACTTAAAACACTAATAATTAATCACACTGATTCACTTTATTTCGCTCCGAAGCTTCGCTTGTCTCGCCGAATTCAATACTTCCCCGATTCAATACTTAGGAGTCCCTCTTGCGCCTTTATGTAATGGCTCCGCAATGTCAAGGGCTGTCCTATCCCCTGGTGCACCAACATTGTACAATTTCGATGCTCCCCCTACTACGTGTCTGAGGTCCCCTCACAGCCGCTCTACTCGTACATGTACGACACCAATTCTCGACATCGTCACGATAATGGACCCAGTAATACTGTTCTCGGACCTTCAGTAGAGTTCGTTTAACTCCCAGATGGACTCTTGAACGACCATTATGGTACAGCTGTAGAACATTCGGCACTTTAGCTTTAGGGACAACCATTTGCAAACGACAGCTGTCTCCTCGACCATTGTCCCATTTACGGCACAGGACTCCATCCTGAATCAGCAAGCTGTCCCATTGGGCCCAATAGCTTTTCGTGGTTGAACTCATCGCTGAGACGTCGCTCCACTTAGGCTTGGTAGCACGGGCCTTCATCCATTCCAGAATCGGCTTGATGTCCGGATCTTCCTGCTGTGCATGTCGTAGGCTGTCCTCCCACTCGTTGCTGAGGTGGTCTGTCCTGAGCATCCTCACGGATACCACTTCCTTACTCACTTGCCTAGTACAATGTTTCCAATCTTCAGGACAAGGTCTTCTTGACAATGCATCTGCGTTGCCATGAGATTTCCCGCTGCGATTTCTAATAGTAAAGTCGTATCCCGGCTGCTGCTGGGCGGTAATGTTAGCCGCACTTCCCTTCTGAGATCGTTCACCTTCCCTTTCTAGGGTTCGCTTAGGGCAGCTGGGTCGAAGATGGCCCCTTTCCCCACAGCCATAGCATCTAGGGCCGTATCCTTTATTGTGGTCGCGAACCGTAACTGCTGCAACCTCCCTAGCGCGAGGGGAACGACGATCCTGCCACCGCCAGGCGGTGCCGTTAGCTGCACTACCCTCTCGAGATCGATCAACTCTCCTTTCTACAGTTCGCTTAGGGCAGCTGGATTGAAGATGGCCCCTTTCCCCACAGCCATAGCACCTAGGGCTGTATCCTTTGTTGCGGTCGCGAACTGTAGCTGCTGCAACTTCCCTGACGCGATGGGAACGATGATCCTGCCGCACGTCTTCCACCCCCAGTGCATGGGCCAAGGCGTCCTTAAGCGTCTCGTAGTGCCCGAGCCTCACAGCAGCACTGACTAGCAGTTCGCAGATGCCGTCGATGAATGTCTGCACCAGGTTCCCTTCAATGAGCGCGGGTACAGACCGATATGCTTTTCGCACCAGCTTCTCCACCTCTAGAGCCCACTGCTGCAGGTTTTCGTTGATGCGCTGCACGCGATCTTTAAGCTGCGCACGAAAGACATGTTCCAGGTGGGCGTCACCATATCTCGCCTCCAATGCCTCAAAGAGTTGCTCATAAGTCACTTCCTCACCGAGAGCTTCCAGAACTGTTAAGGCCTGGCCGCGCAGGCCTAGTGTGAGAGCAGTCATGGCCTGACTTTTATTCCAGCCGTACGCCTTCATAACAGCCTCGAACTGGATTTTGTAGGCTGACCAGGAAGAAGTCCCGTCGAACGGTGGCACCTTGAACCCACGCAGCGAAGGTGTAGTAGCTAAAGGAAGAGTAGTAGAAGATGTAGTACTACGGGAGCTGTAGTTCCATCCCCAAGTTTGAGTTCGTCCAGCGTTTTCTTCACGTCAGCCATCACGTAATCAACCCGATTGTTCACTTGGTCGATTTGGGTTTTAGCTTCCTTGATTTGGGTTTCAGCTTCCGACAGGCGGTTGTCATGTTGAGCAACCCTATCCTTCACCTCCCTTATCTCTTTCCCGAAGTTAGCGTGAATTTCCTTCACGAGGAGCATCTGCTCTTCCTGTCGGCGGGTCTGTTCCTCCTGCTGCTCTTTCAACTGAAAGCTCTCCTCGCTCCATTACGTCGGGTACAGATGGCGCTAGTGCCGGGTACATGACGTCAACTTAGGCGCGCAACAATATGCTCCTTCCGCAACAATATTAGTGAAATAAAGTGAACTAAAGTGTTAAGTGTGAATAATTATTAGTGTGATTTAAGTTTTAATTGGTGTTCAGTAAATAAAGTGTCAATTTTGGTAATTCAAACGGCAGTTTTTATTGCCACGAACTCTAAACTCGTAACAATATTAAGGAATTTATGGATATTATATCACTGGGTGTTAATATCGCTACCAATACTAATTTTATTAAAGTGTTTTAATTGTGTAAGATATCATATGATTGTCAACTGATTTTTTTTTTCAAAATAGTCTTGCTGCATTTTTGCTGGTTCTTTCCAAGAGAGAGATATTTTCTGGAACTGGAGGTAAATTAACAAGTTTTTTGCAATTTTTGCAATCTAAAAAAATCAAAAAAAGTTACTGTTTCTGTTATAGTTTTTACATAATACTAATTTAAAGATGTAAAAATATACGACGATAAAATAATGAGTTTTATGAATTGATTATAAATCCATAATAGTGCCATGCATTTTTCACAGTAGGTACTTATTATGAAAACTGCATGGAACTAACGCTAGTGCGTTTTGAACGTACCTATATGTTTTTAATTTTCAGCTTAATATTGCCTTTGACACTCTTGTATATTATATTGTTAGCTGCGACTTCGTTCGCGAAGAATCAGTACTTTTGCTATTCTAAGTGATGATGATTTATTTGTAAATTAAACCGTCGCGAAGATTTGGAAAAACACTAATCTAAATAAAATATTCAGTTAGTCGGTAAATCAGTCAAACAATCGAACAAACAAATGAACAGACCCTCAAACGAACCAAGAAACGTATAGAGCAAACTGTACGCTTGTGTTTTATTTTGTAAATAAACAACAAAATGACCGCAATAACGTAATCCCTAATTTTCTCCGGAATTTCTCTAGCCAATACTCGGTTTCTATACAAAAAATAAAAAATTGCCCTAAAGAAGCGAACACCATGACAATTATAATATCTCTAATATAAGCAAAGCACCATGAAAACTACAATCCAATGCCTACCTAAAACTAAGTACCTACACTAATCAATATTTTGTCACATCCTGAGAGCAAATGAAAAATAAAACTAAACTCAACCTAGGAAAGTTTTTTGACCTTTGTGTAATAGGTTTGATCGGGCCTAAAATCAGTTGGGTTTTCTGTCAATAAATTCTCAGTAGCAGCCAGGAGTCAAGGGTTCAGCAGCGTTTAATCCCTATGCCTCGGAAATCACGTAAAGCCGTTTTATCTGTAACTGATCTCACTATATTTTTGTCGGATTACTAACTCGGACACAATGATAAATAGACAATTTTTAATATTTTGTATACAATGATCAATAGAGGCAGATTTTTGTAAAGTTCTATAATAGGTATTATTCATAATTATGATAATTATGTTTTACAGATTTCTCCACCACCATGCAATTAAAAATCATTTTTTCTGCGCAAGCCATGTATCCTGGTTTTAACACTTTAAGGTTAGATATTAATAAAATGAAAGAAAAAACTAATTGCATTATTTTAATATTAAAGTATTCGTATAAATTTTAAATTAACAAAAATCATTTACTAATTTTTCCCTATACGAATATGAAATCACCCCGTAAAAAAAGAATCTTAAAAACCTTATTTTACTATATAAGGATTTAAATTTTCCAAAAATTATTTCTTAGTGGATGCCTGCTTAATAAAAGTAAGTTATTGTCCCAATTTCACGCATCTTTGTACAGCGGTTTGAGCTGTAGACTTAATACAACATTTTTCATACAAAATTTGCACCCTTGTTTTATTACCGTAAGGGGCAAATTTTATTATTTTATTACTTTAAAACATTAGACATTTTTCTCCCTGCAAATTGAACATTATCTACCCCCTTCTCCCTCCCCCGGTAAGGGATGTTGATGATTGTTGATGTTGTCCCCCGGTGTGGGTTGTTTTAAACACACTAAAATATTTTATCTCCATACAAAATTGCACACCCACTGCCTTTGCTCCCTCTAACGTAACGGGTTATTTTAAAGTCGTAAAATATGTAGGTATTCTTTTTTAAATACAGTAGTCTCAGTAAGTATCGAGTCAATCGCCCTATATAATATTTTTAAATAAAATAATAAACTGTAACACCCTTATTTCACCCTCATATGGATTAGGGATCAAATTTTCCAAAATTATTTCATAGCGGTTGTCCTCATCATAAAAGGTAGCTACTGTCCAAATTTTAGATATCTTCGTGATTTTTCATGATTCAATGATTCGTTGAGCTTGTGCACAGTGAACAGTGACATCTGTCGGTAAATGGCAAAACTAACTTTACGGCAAATTAAATTTTATTGTTTTTTTTTTTTAACTATGTCCAATATAAATGAAATTTTATAAACGCTATTTGCAAACAAAATAAAAAAAACTTCTGATATGCAATAAAGATTTTGTCTAATTTTAAGTACCTATTAACTTACCAAATAAAAACATACATTAACAATGTGCACTATTACTAATTACAAATTTTAAAGTAAAGAGAACAAATGCGTCAGGACGACACAATGAACTCTTAACCACTCCAAGAAGTATGAGAATGCCTACAATGATATCCTTTTTATTTTATTTTTTTTTTATAGAAGAGAGGGCAAACGAGCATGCGGCTCACCTGATGTTAAGTGACTACCGCCGCCCATGATCAACCGCAACACCAGGGGAATTGCGGGTGCGTTGCCGGCCCTTTAGAAAGGAGCAAGCTCTTTTCTTGAAGGTCCCCAGGTCGTATCGGTCCGGAAAAATCGCCGGTGGTAAACTATTCCACAGAGAGGTTGTACGCGGAAGAAAATTCCTTTTGAAACGTACAGTGGTGGACCGCCAAGCATCCAGATGGTGTGGATGGTATCGGGACGTTTGCCGCGTAGTACGCTCACGAAATTTGGCGGCTTAGATTAATCCGAACAATTCCTCAGAGCACTCTCCATGGTATATGCGAAAGAAAATGCAAAGGGATGCAACATCTCTTCGCAGTGCCAGTGAATCGAGCCGATCGGAAAGCACTCGGTCGTCGACGATTCGAGCCGCTCTGCGCTGGATGCGGTCAAGTGGAAGGAGCTGGTACTGGGGAGCCCCAGCTCAGAGATGGGAATAGTATTCCATGTGCGGCCGAACTTGCGCCTTGTAAAGTTGCAGGCGGTGTGCCGGCATGAAATACTGTCCCGCTCTGCTGAGCACGCCAAGCTTTTTAGAGGCCAATTTGGCCTTCCCTTCCAAGTGACCACGAAATTGCACGTCACTCGATATGTCGACGCCGAGGATTCCGATAATGGCTGAGGCAACAAGGGGAGTGCCTTGAATCTGAGGGGATACGACAAAGGGGTTCTTTTTAGCAGTTAATGCGCAAACTTGTGTCTTCTGGGGGTTAAACTGGACTAGATTTAGTCGCCCCCAATACGAGACTCTGTTCAGCAAAGACTCGACTTCAGACACAAGTTTGTCCTGGCACTCGAAGACGTTTTCCCGCGAAATATTGGCTCGGCCGGTGTAAAGAGCATCACCAGTGCTGTCATCTGCATAGCAATGAATGTTACGGTGTTTGCAACATATCATTGATATGCAGAAGAAACAGCGTTGGCGATAGCACGTAGCCCTGTGGAACATCAGCATTAATAGGGTTGCAATCGGAGCTTACACCGTCTACAACGACCTTGATGCTCCGATCTGCAAGATAGCTGGTGATCTAATCGCACAATTTCTCGGGAAGCCCATAGGAAGGGAGCTTCGAAAGAAGTGCTTTGTGCCAAACCCGATCGAAGGCCTTCGCAATGTCCAAACTAACGGCCAATGCCTCCCCCTTGAACTCTACTTACTCCGCCCATCTGTGAGGTAGACCAGAAGATCACCAGCTGACCGACCACGGCGAAAACCGTATTGGCGGTAACTAATCAGCTAGTGATCCTCAAGGTACCTCATGAGCTGGCAGTTTACAATGGACTCCATTGTTTTGGAGAACAAGGAGGTGATGGCGATAGGCCGGTAGTTGGACGGGTCTGAGCGGTCGCCTTTTTTAGGGATCGGGTGGACGAAAGCCGTCTTCCATGATTTTGGGACTACGCCTAGTGAGTAGGAGTACCGGAAAAGACGCGTTAAAACCGGTGCCAACTCTGGAGCACACGTCCTCAGCACAATTAGGGGGATTCCTTCAGGCCCACTCGACTTGTGGATGTCCAGGGAGAGGAGTGCTTTGCGAACCGTGCGCTGTGTGAACTGCACTTCCGGCATGGAGCACTCACACCGCGGGATGGTCGGCCGCGTACTCCCCCGTCATCGAGAGTCGAGTTAGACGCAAAGAAAGAGCCTAGAAGATCGGCTTTCTCCTTTGCGGTATGGGCCAGTGAGTCGTCCTCCCTGTGCAGAGATGGAAGGGATGGCTGACAGAAATTCCCCTGGACAGCCTTGGCGAGAGACCAGAATGGGTTCCAGAAGGAAGGCGAACTAGTTTCTCGCCAATTCTGCCTATGTGCTCTGACTTATATAATATATATTTTACTTAATGCCTGTACCAAACCTAGGTATGTTCAGCAGTGGACTTTAAAATGTTGTAACGGTTGTAGGATAAAAGTAAGAAACTTATATTTGCTTGTCCAATACAAACATTGCGTTGAAAGCAGCAAGCAAAGTAATTATTTACATATTATGTGTCTTTCATATTTCACTTATAATTAAACCCTATGGTACCTACGTGAAAATACTTATAGCGTTATCTATATAAAAGTATAGTAGTTAATTTATTATTACAGTAAAATAAAAATTATATGATATTAGAAAAGAACGGGTAGGCATAATATAAAAACAACTCAAAATTAGGTAACGTAATTTTTAAATTTTATAACTTTTTGAATCTGCAAAAGGGAAGTATAATATACCTACTGCCAAGCTCCCATGAAATCTAGCCGATACCAAAGAAATTGTTAATAGCTCTTTTAAAACTTGATTTACCATGTTGTAAATCAAGTTTAAAAAAAATTATAAGCAAACCTACTTATTTAAAATTAATAAATAATTTGCACTACACCATCTATTGATGACATTAGTTAACTATTGTACTTTTTTCGTTAAGATATTAGAGTTTATATATTTTTTATAAATATTTATTACGTTATTCTTTGTTATTTTTCTTTACTGCATTTAGATACAATTATATCATTCAGAACATTATTATAAGTTATTTAATTGAACGTATTCGTACCTGTACTTCGTACCCATACTTCAGAATATCAATCATAACTTTTCGATAGGATGAATTCATTTTAACAAAACAAAGACTTTTAAAACGCAGATACGGTTCACATTTTACCTAACGGTTACTTTGATATAAATCAGTACTTTATACTACATGATACGTTAACAAACAAAGAGACAGACAGACAGACAATTCTAAAATAATAGTAACGTATTCAATTACTTATTTTTAGTCAACTTTGTTACAAAAATATAAATTGTACAGACATCTGTAATCTACATTTTTATTATATGTACCTATATATAGATATAGATTATTACGTTATACATTATATATTAATACACTAAGAAATTCATGCTCATTGGAGAATACTTCAACTATTTTACTATTTAACTAAAATTACTGGGTGTAAAATAAATAATAATATAAGAATCATGCAATTTACGAAATGATCAATATAAATAGATTGATCATTTCGTAATTTTCCTTGAGGAATTTGAATTGGGGAAAACATATTATATTATACATTCTAATATACATATATAGTATATCGATTTTTATTTCAGATTAGGAGCATTGGGATTTCTGTCGCTTGATATCGAAGAAGCGTCGGGTAACGCAGGTTTAAAAGACGTAATACTAGCTCTAAGATGGATCAACAACAACATCGAACGATTTGGAGGCGATAGAAATAAAATAACAATTGGCGGAAATAGTTCGGGAGCTGCAATTGTTCACTACTTATTATTAACTGAACAATCCAATGATCTTTTTCAGCGAGCTATACTCATAAGTGGTAGCGCTGTTTGTCATAGATTTGTTGCGAGACATGCAAAAGATAATACACTCATTTTAGCCAAAGAATTAGGTGTGATAGCAGATGACGCACATGAATTATTAAAAAAGTTTCAGGATATAAAAGTTTTCGACTTAATAGACGCTGAAATGAACTTAACCAAATATGATAACGTTGTCTTGCGATCATTTAATATGTTTGTACCAACTATAGAGATCAACTCTTCACATGCAGTAATTACTATTGATCCCATTAAAAAGCTTAATTTAGGGTTGGTACAAAATATACCTGTTTTAGTAGGTTTTAACAACAGAGAAGGTATTTACGGTATTGTTAAAATAAGGAGTAACAAGGATAAATTAAATAAATTAAAAGAAAATATGGAATATTCTATACCATCTGATATCGAATATCCATTGGGATCCGAAATTTCTAAGAACTTAGCAAAATCTATAAGTCAATTTTATTTCAACAGTGATTTATCAAACTTTACACTTAATAATATTGTCGATTTAATCTCTGATTCTCAATATATTTATAGCACCGATTCGTGGATTAAAAGGTATAAGAAAGTGAATGGCAGCAATTTAGTTTATTATTATATGTTCAACTTTGATGGAGATTTGAATTGGTCGAAAATAAATTACAACATAGATATTCCCGGAACTTCTCATGCAGATGACCTAGGTTACATCTTTATCACGAAGAAAACCAAAGCCATCTTAAATAAAATAGATTATAACAGCCATTTAGTCAAGAATATAATGACGACGTTATTTTCAAACTTCATAAAATTTGGGTAAAATTTTAGTTTTATTTCTTTGAATTTTATTGTGGTCACCACACACGGTCAGTTCAACTGATCATTCCAACTGATCAGTTCAAACTAGGATTGTTGATATTTTTTAAAATATGGGATTTTCAATATATCTGTAATAATAAATATATCAATATCGGAGTTTTATATATTTGTTTATTTATCGATAAATCCAAAATCCGATATTCCGATATCAACAGTCCTAGTTTGAACTGATCAGTTGGAATGATCAGTTGAACTGTTAAATATAATCGCCAACAACTTCGATAGCAACATCTACCGGCATAGGTGTGACATGGACGTTACACATGATCTTTGTTTTGCCCAATTTCGTCTTGAGACCTATCCGTTGGGAGGCACTATTTAGGTAATTGAGCATAGTGAGTCCTCCAGCGATTTTGTCATAAGAACTATATCGTCGGAAAATCGAAGGTGGGAGATATACTCGCCATTGATGTTAATGCCATATAGTTTCCAGTCCAGTAAACTTAAAAACGTCTTCCATGCAGCGGTGAGGAGTTTCGGGGATATTACGTCACTTTCTCTTACACCTCTCTGCAGCAGATAGGTTTCGTACTCTGGTTCTGTACTGGGATAGCCATCGTCGCCCTGCTGTACAAACACTTCAGCATTTCGATATACCCACAGTCAACTTGGCACCGCCGAAGGGATTGCATCACCGCCCAAATTTCGAAGGAATCAAAGGCTTTCTCAAAGTCTACTCGTACATACGCAAGACATAATGGCAGAAGGTAATCTTTGGTCTTCTGTGCAATTTGCCGAATTGTATGTTTATGGTCTATGGTGCTTTTTGTCTATGGTGCCTTTTCGGAAACCGGCATGTTTGGGAAGCTGGACATCGTCATGTCTGCGTGCGAGACGATTCTTAATGACTTTCGAAAACAGCACGTAGACACGGCTCAGAAGGGAAATCGGTTTTGTAGTTCTGCAAAAGAACGTTGTCGCCTTTCTTAAAGAAGAAGACTACCGCACTTTTGCTCCACGCCTCCAGGGTAGTGCCACCATGTAGGACGGAATTAAAGAGCTTCTGAAGACCTTCAAGTACCGGTTTTCCACCGGCTTTCAGAAGCTCCGCTGTAATTCCATCCTCATGTAATCGGAGAGCTTTTGTGGTCTTCTGCTGCGGGTCTTGAAGAACTTGGCTCTGACTCTGATATCGTCCAACGCATTGCAGTATTCTAGGCGAAACGATTTTGTAACTAGATCTGAAAATTTTCGGAACTTTAGATTAGAGCACGATTAGGACGTAGTGTTGACTTTAGACGTAACCTCTCCAACTTAACGTTTAGGTTCAATGTGCCTCTCACCATTCGGTGATGGCTGTCAGTTTTTACCCTCGCGATCACTGAGACATCACTGAACACTTACCGTCCTGTCGTCATAATGAAGGCAATCTCGTCTTTTGGCGAACTGTTGGGGCTCAACCAGGTAAATTTTCTATGGGGCTGCTTTTGGATGAAAAAGTTAAGCATAAAGAGTCCCTTTTTCTCCATGTATTCGGCTAGCTGCTGGCCTCTTGGATTCCGTTGCCCTATCCCGAATCACCCCACCGTCAGCTCACCGTTTTCTCTTGTGCCTAGTTTTGCGTTGAAGTCTCTAGATATATTTCATACATTTTCTCCATATCCTCATCGGGATGTGCCGAAGTTGGTGCGTAAACCTGTATGAACTTCATCGAACACCATTTGGTGGTTCTGAGTATAAGGTACGCAACCCTTGTCGACACACTCACAATCTTTACAACGTTGTTAACGAGAGACTTCTGGACGATAAATCCGACACCTCCTTGGGACAAATGATGACCCTCCCGATGATAGAACAAGTTGCTGGTTTCGAGGATTACCGTGTCGTGAGCACCCCCTGCCCCGCCGTTGCCATGACTGCCACCGTAGCCGGGAACAGGGGGACAACCGGGGACTGGAGGCCATCTTTTCGTGACTATGGGAGGATGGGGGGGTATATTGTCATAGTTGCCATGCTTGTCGAGCGAGTTGGCAACCGAATTTTTTATTGTCATTTGGCTGTTGTCAGGAAAATTCTGCTGCCCATCTTCTGCCGCAGTTTCCCTCTGTCGCCTCTCACAACACCTACGGGAAGATATATGGGTTAGTGGGTATTCTTGCCCGCCACTGCACGTTTGTGCTTTTATTAATCAGTAATATTACACAATTGTCATATGTAACCAAATTACACAATCACGTATTCAGTTAAAAATAAATGTATGAAAACTACAAACACCTATAACTCATAATACACCGCATTCAACTATGGTTTCAAAAATAAATTATCAATCCAACTTTTTTGTTTGATATAATGTGTTACTGTTATTTTAATATTATTTTCATTTCACATTACACTTATTACTTACTACTTCCATAAATAGAAATACCATTAATATCTATATATTAAAAAACATAGTTAAATATAAAATCTAATGGTTTGGCCTATTCAAGATGTTAATTCTTGCATATGAAGGTCATTCTTGCTTTTTTGGCACACCTTTTCGCGATTTTTTTTTATAAACCATATTTATGACTTTGTTTAAAATTAAGTTTATTAATATTACTCTCTACAATCAAACAGACCCATTTCTAGCAGTAGTTTACAGTCTATTAAACTATTGAAATAATTGTATTAGTATTATAAGTGAGCTTTATTTTTAACACACTTCTTGCTTTCTTGTTTTAACATTTGCATTTAAACGCCGCATATAAATATTTCAGGAACCCCACTCCACAAAATCTGGCTAGCAACTTCAAGTGGCCCGAATATGGTAAAAATGGGTCGTTTCTTATTATAAATGAGAACCCAACTGAGGGTACTCATCGGCCTCCGCTATCGGATAGACTGAAGTTTTGGTACGATATATATAAAACATATTATGATTATGTCGAAAACGGTGGAAAACTGGAGACAAAAAATATACCGTAGTAAAAATATACGTATTTTATTTGCATCTCTAATATCATCTGATATTATTTACGTAAAATGAAATAAGATTTTTACCGAAATAGATACGAAGTCTGTTAGTAGGTATTACGTAAGTTTCGCACCTGCTTACTTTTATTTTTATACTAGCTGTGCCCGCGACTTTTTTGACTTATTTTAAACTTTTTGAAGTATTATTACTTGGGACTATTGATTATATTTTATAAACTACATCACTGTTTCAACTCAAACAATAATAGTATTGATAATTTTGGTATACGGAGTAATTTCATCATTAAGGGCCGATTTCACCAAACTCAGATAAGTTTTCTAGGCTATCAAATTTTACATTTCACCAACAATTTAACCCAAGAATAAATTAGTTAACCAAGAGATAAGATTTATACTCCCGATTTTGAAGGATTATGGAGTTATTCTTCGGTTAAAATGGCCGACAGGGTGGCAGCTGTTAATTATTTGACATTTTTAATAGTTTGTCGCGGACGTCCAAGTTTCTTCTTCCTGAATTGCTGTTTGATTAATAAATTTTTAGTTTAATTATTATTGAGAGTATATAGCTATACATAATGCAACGTTTGAGAAGAATGATTAACAACAGTGACAGTGATGATAGTGAAGATGAAACATATTATGTTGTAAAACGCCCAAGGTGGATAAAAGAAAGAAATAATTATTTTTATTAGCGTCATTGAACCCCGAGTACATAAAATTTCCGAATACTCAACAGGAAATTCGGCGAAATCCAAGGGAGTTTAATGGCAAGAGTCCCTAGAGTTATAGGGGCAATGGTATGCACACATGTCGGAAATTCTTCAATCAGGCAGAATTCGTCGATCAGGCAGAACTGTTTAGAAACCGAAAAGGCTATTTTTCTATTAATGTCCAGACTATATGTAATGCAAATTTGGAAATTATTGATATTGTCTCAAGATGGCCTGGGTCAGTACATGACAGTACTATATTAATAATTACTGCCGTAAAGCAAAATTTGAAGCTGGTGATTATGGTGAAGGAATTCTACTTGTAGATGGTGGATATGCTGCTACATCCTATTCTATGCCCCCACTAGAGAATCCTGGAACAGCGGTAGATCAACTGTACAACGGGTCACAGATTAGGACAAGAAATACTGTTGAAAGGTCTTATGGGGTTTGGAAACGAAGATTTCCAGTACTAGCTTTAGGACTACGAGTTAAATTAGACAAGGCTTTGGTTATAATTATGGCAACGGCTGTGCTGCATAACATATTGCGTCAACGAGAAGAAACAGTTCCACCTGATGATCCAGATTTGGTCCTTCCAGGACCTTGGGAGGCGCTCTTACAAAATGGAAAAATAAGGTGTGAACAATCAAGTACTCCTCAGCGAAATGGAACCAGAGAACTCCTAATAAACAATCACTAGGAATCTTATATAGTTTATTGTGAGAAAAAAGTTAAATAATGAAACCATGTTTTTTATTGTCATAGTTTTATATTATTTTTTGTTTTCTCCGCCTTAATTGTGATAATAATAAATTAGTTTTAATTTTCTCCTAATCGATTAAGTGCATGGAAGATTTCACGGAGGATATCGTGACCGTTCAATATTATATTTAGGTAAATGAAACTAAGTAACGTAGATATGCACTAACATAATATAAAAAAGAAACTTAAAATGGGTTAATAAATGACCGTTCGTTTGCCGTGTAGTAGCGGCGAAAATGAATCCATCACTCCACCTCCTGGAGGTGTAGTAAGAGACAACTTTCGATGTATGGCGCTATAAAAAAATCGGTTACGTCAGAGCCAGACTACCAAAAAATACCCAGACTGGCTAGTTGTACCCACACTGGCCAGCATAGTCAAAGATGCGAGATGTAGTGTATTACAATCGTCAATTTGTCTGCAAACCGTGAAAATTATAATAAATCAATCCTGAAGTGGGAGAGGTTCATGTATTGCAGTAGACTTTTACGGGCTAATGATGAAGGATAAAAGAAGAATTGATAATTTTTGCGTCATAAAGTAATGCGATAAAACTCTGAGCGCCTCAAAACTTTTAAGTCTCTGACGCAGTCCACACTTCGGATCCACTCTTGAAAGTCGCTTTGTTAATTTTCATTGCAAATTTGTAGGTGTTATGATTAAAACTACTTTTACGGATTTTATCGCGTTTATTTTTACTTTTTATTTACTTTTATTTTTAATTCCCGACGTTTCGGGCGCTTTCCAGCACCCATGGTCACGGGGGACTGAGATGACTGACGTCTAGGATATGATCACAAACTGCAGTTTGTGATCATATCCTAGACGGACCCAACCATTACATCAGATTTGATAGACCACAAATCCTCGCGAAAGAACACCGATTCCTACCAAGGATGATACGTGAGGCTATTGAAATTAAAAAACATCCTAATTTCAATAGAGAAGGAGGCTGGGTACTACCACCTGCTTGGGATCCTATAATCAATAAAATTAAAACTAAACCCAAGCATACCACTGCAAGACCTCAGGACATAGTCAGTTCATTTTGCATGTAAATATAAGAAATCATTATTGTAGGTGTTACGTTATAAGCGAATTAGTGGGATAAAACACCTCCTCATCTACATCATCACCGATGTCTAGCACATTCATTTAAGGGAAAGCTAATTTGAGCAGTTTACCATCGTAAATATTTGGAGTCAAGCGAAGAAGCAGCGAAACAAACTAAATTTCCATTACAGCCTATAAAAGTCTACTGCTAAACAGAGGCCTTCTCCAGGGCCTCTCCATTCCTCACAGGGGAAGTTTCTTATAAAATGAACTGGACGATTTATAAAAAATTCTGCAACCGTAGTGAAAAATTGATTATTAGTAATTCGATGAATCCTGCCCATCGCAAAAAACAAATCCTCTCAAAAATATGAAGACATAGGTCTCTTCTATAGATAGCGTCGTAGGGGGATATTTGCCATTGTTGCCACGCTTGGCAAGCGAGTTCGCAGTCGCAGTTTTTAATTTTAGTTGTTATTAGGAAGTTGCTGCTGCCCATCTCCTGATTTGTTTCCCTCTGTCGCCTCTTATGACACCCACGGGAAGCTATGGTATAGTGGATATTCTTACACCGCCGCTACGCGGGTAAAAAAATTGTAGCTATACATAACAATGTTTTTACGATGAATAAATTTAAAAAAAATACGTGTGGCACTCGGTGACTGCCGCGGTAAAGCTATTGCATAGCATTTTTTATCAACTTATGCAATTATAATTATTTATTTATTTTATTTACGCAGTTAAGTCTTTGATATTAAATCAAGTTACACTTTTTGAGAGTGGTGACCGATAAGAAAAGAATTTTTTTTCTCTTATTGAATAAATGAGAAGTTAATATTGTTTAAAATATTTTTAATATCTTACAATACATGTAGGTTATTCAGGAATTTTTATCATTCAGTTAGCAGCTAGTGTACACGCATACGTCTAGTCGCACGCACACAAACACCGTGCCGAACTCTGCCGAGTGCCGAAGTCTGCCGAACTAAAACGACGTTAGACGATGCACGGCTTTCAACGCCACACCTCCGTGCCCGTCGGAGTGGGGAGCGTGAGGTTTTTTTTCGTTACGGAATTTCTGGATTCGCTCAAGGCCCGCGATAGAAGCTGTGCAATAGCTTAAAAAAAACGTAATTAACTTTACATTACTGTATAACTTATTCCCCAAATCAGCAGTAGTTATGAACATAATCTAACAACTAACATAACTAACTTTGTGAGAAAACCAAAGAGCAGAAAATAATCACTACGTTTTAGGGATGACAATAACATTCCTTTTATGTAACTTGTGTGAAGCTAAATTTGCGTACCCAAAACCGATAAAAGTTCTCGAACTTGGAAACATATTTTCGAATTTTATATTTCTAACTTAACCATCTCCGCTGCAATCGCGCGCAGCAGGAACGCGCTCCATAGGCGCGGTTGGTGTGGACGTGCCTCGCGAGATCCAAGCTGCAAACTTCGAGCATGCAGTCGTTGCCGCGAGCGATCCATTCGTTGTCGGTTTTTCGGTTATGCTCAAATGGGCCTCCGTCACTTGTGCGTGGTGCTGACGTTTGTGAGTCAATCACGCGATATGAAAATCCTTTTATGATGAGTATAAATGCTTAATGGGATCCTAATAACACCAATTACACAAATAAAGGTGTGAGAAACGATGCTTGGCGATATATTAGTCTTGAAATGGATTACGCAGTTGAGGCATTAAAGAAAAAAATACGTGTGGCACTCGGTGACTGCCGCGGTAAAGCTATTGCATAGCATTTTTTATCAACTTATGCAATTATAATTATTTATTTATTTTATTTATGCAGTTAAGTCTTTGATATTAAATCAAGTTACACTTTTTGAGCGTGGTGACCGATAAGAAAAGAATTTTTTTCTCTTATTGAATAAATGAGAAGTTAATATTATTTAAAATATTTTTAATATATTACAATACATGTAGGTTATTCAGGAATTTTTATCATTGATTTAGCAGCTAGTGTACACGCATACGTCTAGTCGCACGCACACAAACACCATGCCGAACTCTGCCGAGTGCCGAACTCTGCCGAGTGCCGAAGTCTGCCGAGTGCCGAAGTCTGCCGAGTGCCGAAGTCTGCCGAACTAAAACGACGTTAGACGATGCACGGCTTTCAACGCCACACCTCCGTGCCCGTCGGAGTGGGGAGTGTGAGGTTTTTTTTCGTTACGGAATTTCTGGATTCGCTCAAGGCCCGCAATAGAAGCTATGCAATAGCTTAAAAAAAACGTAATAAACTTTACATTACTGTATAACTTATTCCGCCAAATCAGCAGTAGTTATGAACATAATCTAACAACTAACATAACTAACTTTGTGAGAAAACCAAAGAGCAGAAAATAATCACTACGTTTTAGGGATGACAATAACATTCCTTTTATGTAACTTGTGTGAAGCTAAATTTGCGTACCCAAAACCGACAAAAGTTCTCGAACTTG